CAGCTGCGAGTCGTTCCCACACTCCGTTGACTCCGCTTGCATCCCTGCAGTAAACCCAGAGAGTTTATGATTCATGAACAGAGGAGCGATGGACAATCTATATTTCCCGAGGCGGGTGGTGAAGCACTGGGATGGGTTTCCTAGGGAGGGGGTGGAAGCTCCATCCCTAGAAGTTTTGAAGTCCCAACTTGACCAAGCCCTATCTGAGATGATTGCGTTGGGGTGGGTTCTGCTTTGGGCAGGGGACTGGACTCGATGCCTCCTGAGGTCTCTACCAGCCCTGAGGTTCTGTGATTCTACAATCTTTTCATAGACATCTGGGACAAAATTCGCTCCTGTGATTCAAGGCCAGACTCTCTGACTCCCAGCCTCTCTTGCTCTGCTTCTCACCCCACGGGACCCTGCTCAGCTCCAAGAGATGGGACCGGAACTTGGTCTTGGCAGCCAACCGCCCTTGTTCTTACCTAGACCTTGCTTACCTCACAGAACTGGAAATACAACCTAGAAGTCCTCACACATACATGTCACTTACCACCCAGAGCTATGAAAAGAATCGAGGAGCCCCACTGACACGGCATCTTACCCACTGGACTCATTCCCTTCCCAGAGTCATGATACAACCCTAGAAGCCAGGAGTCCTCCCCATGTGTTCTAACCCCCTACAGCCCACATGTGACAAGAAGAAACCCTAGAGCCCTCCCATGCTGGCCCCCATGGCATAGGTGTGGATTTCAAACATAGATCGGAAGGGGATAAAACTTCCCACACAAGGGTCAAACTCAACATCTGAGTGAGCTGGGATAGGAAGAGAGCCCCAGTTTGGAACGTCACTAGTGGATCTGCCCCTGCAAAGATTTTGTTTGGACCTTCTCCAGATGTTGCCACTTCAGACCTCCATCAAGGAGCGAGTGGCTCTTCCGTGGCATGAGGGACTCACTTGCTTTGGGAAATGGGAATTTTCCCCAGCTTCCCATGGTGAGGAAAAGCAATGGAAAGAGATTGAAATGGGTTCGCCTCTGATCCTGTTATCTGGAGGGCGTTCCAGCTGAGAGGTGTGGGTTGGTCTTCAAGGCTGTCTAGACTGCAGGCTTCTTTCGGAAGAAGCTGTTCTGGAACAAATCTTCTGAAAAAACTTCTTCCGAAAGAGAGCGTCTACACAGCAAAAGCGCCTTGAAAAAGCCATATGCCTTTTCGACAGCGTCCACCCTAAATGGACGCTATTTCACCTTTAAGCTGTGATTACTATGAGCGAAGTGGCCACTAGGGCATCTGTGCTTTTTTCCTCTTCCCTCATTACTATGGGCGAAGTGGCCACTAAGGCATCTGTGCTTTTTTCCTCTTCCCTCTTTTTTCGCGAGAACTCCCTCTTCCCCATCCACACACCATTTTCTGGAAAGAGCTCTTTCGGAAAAAGGCTTCTTCCTCGTAGAAAGAGGATTACCAATGCCAGAAAAAAAAAACCCTCTGTTCTTTCGATCAACTTTCCAAAGAATGCAATTGCAGTGTGGACGTTACAGCTTTCCAAACAATGCAATTGCAGTGTGGACGTTACTCAGGTTTTGTCCGAAAAATGGCCGTTTTCCAACAAAACTCTGTAGTGTAGACATACCCAAGAGTTTCCCATTTGCTCTCTTCCACACACCGAGATCTTCATAGAATCATAGAACCTCAGGGTGGGCGGAGACCTCAGGAGTCATCAAGTCCAGCCCCCTGCCCAAAGCAGGACCAACCCCGACCCCAACTCATCCATCCTTAAACTCTGATCACACATGAGGGGTTTGAGCTCCAATGTGAGGCCACCAGGCAGGGGATCTAGTGAAACATTCTCTGTGGTGCCAAATTTGTGAACTTACTTCTCACGGTGGGAGATTCAGCTGGGTGGGTCCCGGTGCTGATCTTCGGCAAGTTCTCTGTTTTCTATGCACCATTTCTCCAGTAGCTTCAATGTTGCCTTCAGAGTTGCGGCTCCTTATAACCCAACATTCCCCCCTCCCCTTGTAGCTGCACAATAGCCTCTTCTCCCTCATGTATTTCTCTCCCCACAGTGCTGCTCCTATTAAACTGTTGACCTTTCCTGTATTTTCAAGCAAGTAATGAGGTCTCTAGCTGGCAAACCCCAATGGTCCTCATTAAGCATGATGTTTGGGGTAAAAAGTGGAGGAGACTTAGCCGTGAAAGAAGGCCGTGACTCTTAAAAGTATTGCCCTGTGTGGGACAGCAGGGAGAGGGTCCACGACTTTTCCTCGCCGTTGCTCCAGATGGCAGTTGGCGGTGCTGTGGTTAAGGGAATGGGATGTTGGGGGCAGTAGGGGGTGCTGTGGTGCAGGAACTGGAGCAGTGAACCAATCATGGGGTGCTCTCAGAATCAGCCCAGCATGCAGCACTCCAAGATGATGCTAGGGGGTGCTGTACCACAGGAACCAGTAGGGGGCTCTGTAGAGGGAGCTGTTCACTAGCAGACAGTGCTGAATCCAATGCCTCAGTGTATGGCTATGGGACGCTGTCCTGAAGGGAGTGGGGCAGGAGCTGGGTATTACAGAGGGTATGTCTACACTAGCTCATTAGTTTGAGCTAGGTAGGCAAATGAGGGCAACCGGAGTTGCAACTGAAGCCTGGGATTTAAATATCCCGGGCTTCATTTGCACGTTCCCGGGCACCGCCATTTTTAAAACCCCTTAGTCTGAACTAACTGCCCATGGCTACACATAGCAGTCAAACATTAACTCAAACCAAGTCCTTAGTTTTAGTCAACTGTTACACCTCGTAAGGACTTGGTTTGAGTTAATGTTTGACTGCCGCGTGTAGCCGCGAGCAGTCTGTTCGGACTAAGGGGGATTTAAAAATGGTGCCCGGATGGGAAGATGCAAATAAAGCCTGGCATATTTAAATCCCGGGCTTCATTTGCAACTTCAAATGCCTGCATTAGCCTCCCTAGTTTGAACTAGGGGGATAGTGTAGACATACCCCAACTCTCATGGATTTTCCGTGAAGAACTCCGTTGAAAATGCTTTGCAGTTAGGTGGCTAATTCTCTCAACCAAAGCAGGCCTGTAGTCCAGCTTCACAACAGGGTTTAGTAAATCCCATTGGGCGTGTAAACTTTCTAAAAGGTCAGGTGTTTACCTCCAGTGGAAAATAACTGGGAGTCTGGGGCCTGTCTTAGTCAACATGCCCTTAGAAGACTTACATAAGAACATACGAGTGGCCAGAATGGATAAGACCAAAGGTGCATTTAACCCAGTAGCCTGTCTGCCGACAGTGGCCAGCACCAGGTGTTCCAGAGAGAGTGAACAGAACAAAGAATCATCCAATGATTCCTCTTCTGTCACCTGTTCCCATACAAACAGAAGCCAGGGACACCATTCCTACTCATCTTGGCTAATAGCCATTGATGGACCTAACCACCATGAATATATTTAGCTCTTTTTTTAACCCCGTTAAAGTCCTAATATTCACCACATCCTCTGGCAAGGAGTTCCACAGGTTGACTGTGCGCTGAGTGAAGAAAACCTTCCTTTTGTTTCTTTTAAACCTGCTGACTATTGATTTCATTTGGTGACCCCTAGTTCTTATATTGTGGGAACAAGTAAATCACATTTCTTTATTCACTTTCTCCACACCACTCATGATATTATCGACCTCTAACCCATCCCCCCCTTGGTCTCCTCTTTTCTAAGCTGAAAAGCCCTAGTCTTTTTAATCTCGCTTCATATGGGACCTGTTCCAAATCCCTCATCGATTTGTTGCCCTTTTCTGAACTTTTTCCAATGCCAGTATCTCTTTTTTGAGATGAGGTGACCACATTTGTACACAGCATTCAAGATGTGGGTGTCCCATGGTTTTATATAGAGGCAAGAAGATATTTTCAGTCTTATTCTCTAGCCTTTTTTAATGATTCCTAACATCCTGTTTGCTTTTTTGACTGCTGCTGCACACTGCTGTGATGGACCGGGACGTGTCTGGGCACAGCTGAGGGCGTCCACTCAGGGCGAATTGCTCAAATCTGGGGCTCCTTACAGCCCCCAGATTGGTGACCTTTCCAAACAGGCCACAAACCAGTCCCGCAGAGCGCTTCAGCTGCCTGCCTGAAGCCTCACGAGCAACACA